AGGTATTCATATTTAGAAGTTTGGCATTTCTGGCACTAAAAGAAATGTCCGTAATAGGAAGGTGTCCAAAGGTAGAGATTCAGCTAACCTTGTGAGCAAACTAGTTAGAAATCACCTTCTAGGAAAACACAAGAGGTGAAGGTTATGCCTGCATGAGCTGCAAAAGATTGAGGAACTTCCTCAGGCCTTTTGTGCAAATTGAGGAATACCCTGTACGCTTGTTTTCGTCAAGCCCAGAAATTTTAACATTAAGCCTTGTTTTGGAATTGGAACTATATCGAATTTCACAACAATGAATTCCCGTTGCATTGCAAAATAGTACAGGTAGGTACAAAACTCGGACCAGATCGACTCATTTACATATTGGAACAGCAATGGCAACTATTGTCTGGTAAATATGTAAATGAAGTGATCCGAGTCCGAGTTTTGTACCTGCCTAAAGACCCGCCTAAAGAGTACTCATGCATAGAAAAAACGGAATTTTGTCCATACACCACAGGCTACCCAGGCTCCTTCACTGAGAGCATGGGGAAGTAGTTTACCATTCACATGGGCAGACCGGTCTGCTCAGTCTGCTCACGCTTTAGGCAAATGGTACGCAAAGTTTGAGACTGGTAAATTCCGGGCCGGAATCGCGTTTAACATTTGCGCAAATCAGTTCCATTAACCGAAAAACGACAGCGAAAGCCTGAAACCTGTGTCAAAGATGGCTTTCGGTTACACTTTCTCAAAGCCCGTTTCCGGTTTCTGCTGGTTAGGTACGTCCCTCGTGCTTTCGGCGTTCACGCTGTCGACTTGTGGCAAGTCTAGCTTTGAGTAAATGGAACACAAATGCCCGCTTGGAACATTTCGACCGGGAAAACAGGACTACCTTTCCAGAAGTTTCGTTTTTCCAGTAAATTGTCCTTAGAAACGACACGGAGAGTCATGTAATCAATCTCAGACTTAAATATTATTGGTTAATAATGGTACTGTATCTTTTCCAGAGGGATTTCAATCGTGGATGTGGAGAGGATTAGGATTTATCATTCCCTTCCTTATTTTTGGTTATGTAAGTATCACCATTTTGTTTGGTGTAGTATATTCAAATAATTAATTTTAAAGTAAATGACTTGACAATACATAGATGTCGATGACAGTGAACCATGTGTAAGTATTTTTCTTCACTTGGTTCATTCAAATTACAATGACTGTCGCCTGTACTTCTTAACCCAATTACAATCAGTGTGCCTTTGCAGCAGTTAAAAAAGATTCAGCGATCTACACTCGGTACATGATAGGGGTACCCTTTGTCAATAGGAGACAAATACGAAAGGGGTAACTTTACTGTCAAAAATGATATATATAAGGATAAGGGGTTGCACCTTAGGGCGGAGCCCTAAAACTAAAACGTTGGGGAGCTTAAGGTGATGTTACACGGGACGGTTCGCAACGACGATATTCACGGCAACACAACGTTGCAATGTTGGAACAATGTGGTAATTATTCGAAACAATGTGGTAATTATTCGAAACAATGTGGCAACAATGTTGCAACGCTGTGTTGTGCTAAAACTCGTTGTTGCGAATCGTCTCGTGTAATATCATCTTATAGGCAACAACGACGGTGACGACGACGGCTACGAAAACGTCACGTTTACGCTGAAAAGTGAATTCGCGCTGCCTCAAATTTTATCGCGCTGATTCCATCTCGTTTAATTCGTCAAATGTCGGCAATTTTTTTGGAGCTGAATTCTGAAGGACTGCATCAAAGTTCAGGAAAAGAAAAAGAAAGTTGTTGTCTTGTGTTTCCGTCCTCGACAAAGCGTGAAATTAGTCATTGTCACGTCGTATTCGTGCAACGACGGCAAAGAAATGTACAAAAAAAGCGTGATGAACGTGCAAAGTTGTTCTTTTGCTAATCTAAACCTTTTGCTCTTTTGCCGTTCTTGTTGCCGTCGCCGTCATCGTAGTCTGCTACACAGCCGTTTTTAGTGTCGTCACGCAACGCTCCTCCCCACTTAGTGGGGAGGAGCGTTGCGTGACGACACTAAAAACGGCTGTGTAGCAGACTACCGTCGTCGTTGCTTAAGCTCCCTTTTGTTGAGTGCCCCACGGGGTTCAAGGACTCTGCCGTTCGGACTGAATTAGCCCTCACAATAGACTGCAAAACATTCGGTTTTTTTCCCAGAATCAGTAAAGAAATCGGTAAAGCGTGGCGTAAGAGTCTTGCGCGCGCAAAGGGCGCGAGCCTCACACGCCTGAAGGGTGTGTGTGGCGAGAGGATTTTTAGCGTCTCTCCCCAGTCTCGCTCTCTATTTTCAGCCTCGTACCGGACATTTTGTTTGACTGCTAGCGCGTAGTTGAATACGCAAAAATACGGACTGATTTGCAGTCTACTCTTACAACAAAATACAATTCTCTGTACATTTCATCGAACGACACTGTTTTCTAATTTCCACAGCTCTTTCAGCTGTACAATGCATACACGTTATACCGTCTGTACTTTCACCCGGAATGTGTTGAGTGGCAGGTAAGTCAATTGTAGCTGATTTACAGGCTCATGGGATCAGTAGTATTCATTAAAGGAAGTGTATCACTGCGGCCAAATTGAGGGATACATTAAAAAAAAAACTGCTCAAAACGTGAAAAGAAGGTATAAATAACACAGCAAATACAAAAGGAGCCACGAATAGCCAAATAGCCTGCGTGGCAGGCGTTCGAAAGGGAAGGGGAAGGGAATTAGGACGCGAAACCACGCAAAACCATGCGCCCCCTCGCGTTTCTCTCGTGCCTAAAACTCCCTTTCCCATCCCTTTCAAACGCCTGCCACGCAGGCTAATAGCCAAAGGCCTAGAAGATTGAAACGGATTGCAATTGTGGTTTTTAAAGTAAAATTTTTCAAAGTTCATTTTTGTTGTTTGTAACGTTTGGTAAATTGCTTGGGAGACATAGTCCTATGATAGCAAACAAGGAAGCGATTGTTAGCGGCAAAATGAACTAGCCAGCCGTGACACATGGCCCCTTAACTGGGTTTTTAATCATTAAATTTGTTTGCAAGTGTAAAAATTTGTTTGCTAGCGGTTGTAGGGATGATTGTTTCCAACAGCACAAGATTAGAGATTAAGAATCATGCCTATAGCAAACGGCAAACGTCAATGTGTACCACGTTACGCTACCAGGTTTTCCTTTTAACTATCGTTTATGCTCTTTATGTCTACACACATTTTAGTAGTTTCCTGTCAGGTTCATCCATGAGAATAATTTTGCACAATTAAATTTTTATCTCTTCATTTCCTAATTTTACAAACTTGCAACTTAAATGTGTACATTTGCCGTTTGCGGTAAACCTTATCTAAATCTGTCAAGTATTGCGCCAAAAAGTTGTGCAAAGTCTTTATAGTTCCGGTCCTACGTCAAGTGACTACTAGTAAAGGATTGACCGCGGCGAATAGGGGCGTAAGAACTAGATACTCAGACCTCCACAGTGGAAAGATGGCAGCTTTTGAATTTGACGTAGTATGATTGGTGCTTAAGGACTAAGTCTTGAGAAAGATGATTTTTCAGTGAGTGACACAGGCGGCTGGGAAGAAATAATCCGAGTACTCCTAACGGGAGAGGAACCTATGACCCTCTGGTCACAAGACCAGATACTCTACCACTGAGCTACAGGGTACTCGTGAGAACTAAGGCCTCTAAATTACGTTCATGGTAGAGTATCTGGACTGGTTACCAGAAGGTCAATAGGTTCGACTCCTTTTTGGAGTATTCGGATTTTCACTTCCGAGCTGCCTGTGTCAGTGACTGAAAAATCATCAATTTTTCTTCCGAGCCGCATGTGTCATTAAAGGCAGGTTTTCACTAGCGACGGAGTCGGAGTCGTAGTCAGGGCCAGGTTGCATAAAACCTTCTTAAGATAAGAGAGCTCTTAAATTTTGTTCTGGAACAATAACCTATTGTTTTGAAATAACAGTTACGAGTTTAATCTTAAGATATTTTTTGCAACCCGACCTAGAAGCGTGGAGCTTATGATTTAGTGAAAACAGCGTTCCGATTCCTCTTACGACTCCGTCGCTTACATTCCACTTATGATCTAGTTAAAACCAGATTGTCGGAGCCGGAAGCGGAAGTGGAAGAACTAATTTGTGATTGGTTCAAGCTTAAACTCTCTATTGACTGAAAAATCATCTTTCTCATGTATCCACCAGGCTTAAAATTCACTGTAATATTTCTGACAAGTCTTGTAGATAGAGGCTGATAAGCTTTTGTTGCCGCATTCTTAAGATTATATATCATTTGCAGGTACTTGCTCTGAGTGTGGTATTTTTCACCCTGTTTGCTGGAAACATGACAACAATACTATATGTCTTGCGTCAGAAAGTCGCCAAGACAGGAATTGAAATTCCGCAGATGCCTTGTAACTAGGTGACAGCATTGATGATCTTAAGCTGAAATCAAGGGACTCTGCTTCACATCTTTACTTTACGTCCTTATCTGATGATAATGATATATTTTTCAAATCTTCTGGAAACAATAATATCGTTGTATTGAGGGTGCGCTAAATTGACCTTATATTGACGACGGCGCGCGCAAATCAAACAACTGTCTTGAACAATGGCAGAGCGGCAAATTGAGTACCGGAAGTCGTCCTTGGTCCTTTCCGCGCGCTTTCCCGTCGTCTTCGAGGTGAACTGTAATAAGAATAGTGTAACAAAGCATCAAAGGCAAAAAGGTTAAAGGCAAATCATTAGATGTTCAATCCTGGTAGACCTGTGGCCCTATGTTTTTCAAGCGTCAAAGGGGTGGGTAGGGGAGGAGAGGGGATATTAAACATTCGACCGGGCTAAAGGAGAGACTGAGAGTGTGTATTAAAAGATGGAACAAGTTGGATATTTCGAGTCTCCAGTCGGAGTTTACGAAGTCATTGCAGACGATTATGGCGTTACAAGCATTAAGCTTATAGGACCAACTTCAGTTTCTATGAAGTACTGGAAGGAGGGAGGAAAAGACGAACATGCTTCTTCCTTAAGCTCTCAACACATCCAAGACTGCATCGCTTGGTTAGATGCCTACTTTTCCAATTCTCCTTTCCTGGAAAGAGTTAAACTACCAGCTCTCAGTACACAAGACCACGAAAATAAGCCATTTTGCCTTAAAGTGTGGCAGATTCTTAAAGATCGCGTGAAAGTTGGAGAAACCGTGACGTACGGAGAACTAGCCAATATGGCGGGGAATCCAAAGGCAGCTAGGGCCGTCGGGATGGCAATGAAGTCGAACCCGATCTCTATCATCGTACCGTGTCACCGGGTTGTAAAGAGTGGAGGAGATATTGCCATCTGATATTGACTCTGCTTCACATCTTTACTTTACGTCCTTATCTGATGATAATGATATATTTTTCAAATCTTCTGGAAACAATAATATCGTTGTATTGAGGGTGCGCTAAATTGACCTTATATTGACGACGGCGCGCGCAAATCAAACAACTGTCTTGAACAATGGCAGAGCGGCAAATTGAGTACCGGAAGTCGTGCTTGGTCCTTTCCGCGCGCTTTCCCGTCGTCAAATGACGTTCTAGCCTCCCCCGCAGACATTCTTAGGCGTGCGTCACGCGTTCCTTCCCTACGAACGTTCGTGGGGAAGGAACGCGTGACGTACGCCTAAGAATGTCTGCGAGGGAGGCCAATGACTTCCCGTCCTGTTGCTAAATCAGCCTACACAATTTACACAATGACGCCACTAAAATAAGTGGCAACCTCGTTCCCAGGGTTCTCTCGGGGGACGAGTTGAAGATGAGCCTCCCGGGAACGGGGTTGAATAAGGTACAATGCAGGACGCCCAAAGCAATCAAGGCGGGACAGGGGTACTCCCCTCCCCACAGAAAATTTGGAAAAGACGTTGCTCGGCTATACCGTTTTCTTTTGTACCCGGAGGGAAAGCTTTTGGCATAACTCATTTTTATAAAGTTACCAAAAATAATGACCAATATTCACACGATCTTGTTAGTTGAAATATAATTATCAATAATTAATATTTTAACGAAAAAAAAAACTTGAATTATTATTTAAAATTGCTAAATTTGAAAGGGAATCTTTTGGGAAAAACACTATATATTTTTTGTAGGTGATGGAAAGGTTTTGAAATTTGTGTAGCGTGTGATAGCTGTCAAGGTTCTATAAAGGCAGTTTCTTGGGAACACTGACTCATGTCCTTATTCTGGGTTAGGAACAATGCTTGAATCTGCTATTATTGTTCCTTTCCCCAGCAGCATGTTGAGTGAATAAAAAATAGTCCTTATTACGTTTACGGCATGTGACGTATCGTGGTTTGCTTCTTAGTGTGATGATCAAAGCTGTCGAGGATCTCTCTACACCTGAAAGACTTTTTGCGTCTTTCTTTGTTTTTTCCCGCGATAAGAAGTCATCTAGTAGCCTGAGAAAACAACCGACATTTGGCGACGCTACCACTGGTTAAAGAAAGGCCCAAAAGGGCTAACAATGCAGCACTTCATGACCGTGAAAAAGTCGAAGAAACGTTCTGTGATGCAAAGTTCTTAACTAAATAAGTGGTAGGGGTATTATTTGTCAATAGAAATGAAAGGGATACCTTTTCAGCCAAAAATGACATATAAAAGGGTGAGGGGTCGGACCTCGGGGCCTCCCCGTATAAAACTTTGTAGAGAACCCTCACCTCCCCCCCCCCATCCCTACTAAGGGGCTTGTCCCGGGTTAAAATATCAATGGAAGGTTTATTCTTCGAGGTGAACTGTAATAAGAATAGTGTAACAAAGCATCAAAGGCAAAAAGGTTAAAGGCACATCATTAGATGTTCAATCCTGGGGGACCTGTGGCCCTATGTGTTTCAAGCGTCAAAGGGGTGGGTAGGGGAGGAGAGGGGATATTAAACATTCGACCGGGCTAAAGGAGAGACAGAGAGTGTGTAAAGATGGAACAAGTTGGATATTTCGAGTCTCCAGTCGGAGTTTACGAAGTCATTGCGGACGATTATGGCGTTACAAGCATTAAGCTTATAGGACCAACTTCAGTTTCTATGAAGTACTGGAAGGAGGGAGGAAAAGACGAACATGCTTCTTCCTTAAGCTCTCAACACATCCAAGACTGCATCGCTTGGTTAGATGCCTACTTTTCCAATTCTCCTTTCCTGGAAAGAGTTAAACTACCAGCTCTCAGTACACAAGATCACGAAAATAAGCCATTTTGCCTTAAAGTGTGGCAGATTCTTAAAGATCGCGTGAAAGTTGGAGAAACCGTGACGTACGGAGAACTAGCCAATATGGCGGGGAATCCAAAGGCAGCTAGGGCCGTCGGGATGGCAATGAAGTCGAACCCGATCTCTATCATCGTACCGTGTCACCGGGTTGTAAAGAGTGGAGGAGATATTGGAAATTACAGCTCGTATAATGGAGTTGATACCAAAAAATGGCTACTGCAGCATGAAGGTGCAAAATGCTACTGACGCTTCTAAGTAACTGATGGTGTGGGGGTGTAGGCCATATGAGAAAGATTTCTTTAGTTTACAAGGGACTGTTCAGAACTTCAAAAGATTGCAAAGTGGTTCCATTGCTACGATAATCTTTCCAAATATTCAAGTGTAAATAAAAATGAACACGGATACACACTCACAGTTGGGTGTGTCTCTGCTAGAGGGGTACTCTGGATTTCAAGTGACAGGGATGATCAAAGGATGTTTTTGGGTTTGAATTTTTCGATTCTGGGTGTTTTGGGGGTAGGAAAATTTGGCAAGAATTTTTTCGTATGTTTTTTTTTTGGTTATTTAAAACAATCTGAAGTTTGTGGTAGTGCCCATGTACATGAAGGCCAGCTGTGTAGTTCTCCAAATAAAGTACAACCAAAGTTGTTTTCCGGCTGTGTTAATATTCAATGCATTAAATTCCATGGCAGGTGCGGATCTCGGATAACTACTGACCGATTTCCTAAACAAGGACCGAGGTGCAAGCTTCTAGGCGTGTTCTATGAAGCCGAGAAGTTTGGGCCTTCGCCAGGCACTCGTTCAGGAAATTTGAACTCCCTAAGGTCCTCTTTCCTGGGTTTCTGAGTCTTCAGACAGGCTATTGGCCAGTTCCATTTTCCTCGGATAAAGCCTTGCAAATTGGCGGATTATTTCATTGAGGCTAATTTATTTGATATGAAAATCTGACCGATTTCCGTAAAACGGTGGAAACTGGTCTGGATCCGCGCCTGCATGGATTTTATTGGGGTTAGTATCTGCAGTGCCTCCCCGCTCCCGGGATGTCTCTACTGTGTTTGTGTGTGCAGAGGAAAGGGGGGAGCAGTGGTAAATGCCATGTGGAGGAGGCAGGGATGGTTGTCAGAAAATTGGAACTACCCCTTAAAGGAGTCCCTGAATGATCAGGGTGTTGTTCAAGTGTCACCATTCTAAAAAGAGACAGTCAAATAGCTATGCTGGTAATTTTAAGTTGCAATATAGGTGTTGCCATGGAATGTCTTTTTTTCTTTCATTGTCTGTTTTCTTCGTTTTCCTTACACACAGCCCTAAGCAATACTTGCAAGGGTGGAAATATTAGCATTTCATCCTGAGCCCCCAGGTGATCCTTCAAATTACACCACTAAATGAGATATTGTATGTCTGATTCAAATGTTTCCTCAGCGAATTAATTCAAAATATGGATACCCAATTCTAAATCAGTGGTCCTAAAATCAAGGCCCTGTTATTTAGGCATGCACACCTGTATAGCTTTTTCAGGGTTGGTGTGGAAAGAAAGCACCCATAATTTACACAGTTTTACATGGAGTCCACTCAAACAAGGACAGCAAACACAGCTTTCTAAACTACCGGTATACACAGTTGGCCACCCAGCAGTGGTTCTAGAAAATTCAGAAAGGGGTAGCCTGGGCACTTGCCAGCTACATAGATACCATATATTTTGCTGAAAATTCTTTAAAAGTAATACAAGCCCCAAAATCACCCATAGTTCCCCACTTGTCTTTCTGTAGTCTTTGTTAGACTTCCATTGTTTTTCATTTTAGTGATCCCTAACCTACCGTTAACCTTTTTTGATGCCATTAGAAATGGAAAAGTTACATATTATTGCCATTGTTGACAAAACTGGCAATGATGCTAAGGAGTCTGGAAAGATAAGTTTGGCCTCCCTGTGGCATCTGCCAACCACTGGGCGTGAAAGAAAAGTTGCCTGATCGGTTAGGTGTGACCTGGAAAAGAAGCCTTTACGAGTGTCCAGAAATTTTCAAACCTTAAAATCCATGTTAATTTTATTAGAAAATATACATTCACTTGTCTTGTAACTGTTTTTGTATGTACAGCTTGAGCAGTTACATAATAACGTTTTACGTCAGCTCTGTACCAGCAAAGAAAAGGATGTATGAAAAAATTTATCATGATAAAGAACAGATGAAAGGGTGATATGTTGGGGATGGACACAAACAGTCAGGGAAAATAAATTAATCTATGCTTGGTAAGAGATGTTAAGTATTTTCCAGATTTTCTATTTGTGGCTGTGGTCCAGCTGATGAGAGATGCCAAGTTGTCTTGAAATGTCAATCAAACCATCCATGATTTTATCAACTAATCTGTAAAAAAAATACTAGTTACTGAATAACAGGTTTTCTAACAAGAAATAAAACCAATAAGGAAAATGGTATTAACTTTGGAGCCTGGAATTTCGAGCAAAGGATTTGACTTTGAAGAATAAGCTTTGACAAATGGGTTATGGACTCAAATTGAAGACTCCCAACTTTAGAATCAAACATGTATCCTATGGACTGTGAGCCAGCATATAGTAGACTTTGCAGAGAATCAGTGATTGTGCCCTAATGTGAACCAGTGGACACTAAAGTAATGAGGCTTTGCATCTAATAGTATTATGTGTGGACTAACAGATGGTAGACTGAAAGCCAGACAGAGTCAACTATGGACCATGAACCTGTTGTGCTTCAATCTTATCCCTAGTTTAAATTTTATATCCTTTGTTTTTGGGTATGTTTATAATAATATTAATGACAATGAGTTTGAACCACAGCATACCCATCTGAAGCCAGTGGCATAATCTTAATAAATGTCAATCTTAATCAATGTTACTGGGAATTTAAAGTGGTAGGAGTGATCACTTTGTAGGGGGAACACTTTGAAGATTTGTCTGTTAACTGGCATGTAAAAAACACCTCCTCCAGCAAAAAGACAGTATTCAGGGTTGTCAAAAAGTGCAGGCAACCAGAAATGTCAACAGCTGCTTGAGTTTCACTGACTACAATTTGCCAGTTAAAAGAAAACAATTAAGAGGAAATGAAGGTAGTGCCCCCTATTCCATAATGGGAGGTGATTTTTGTCAAATAGCCCATACCTCAAATACATGTAGTATCAGGCTTACCCATCAATTGGTTTAATAATTAAAGGTATTGCACTCAGTCCCACAAATGTTGTGACCCACGTCTGAGCACGAGGAGGCATTGTTCTAGCCACTCTTTTAAGTGTAAACCTGGATGCAGCACATATTCTGTTGATTGTAAAACCTGGAATGATCACTGAAGCAAGGCCCTGCCAGATGGCAGCTTCTACTGAAGTTTCCACAGCCTTTCTTTTCTGAAGATAATTGTTTAAGTGGTTATTTTGTTGGTAGCATCGTCTTCCTTTATCAATGGAGTCCGCCAAGCAGTATGTCGAGGCAATTCCATAACTCCCTAAGTACATCAACCGAGGAATGTGAGTGCGAAATGCCTCTCCTAATTCATTGGCATAACCTACAAACAGGATGGACAATTTTCACTTGGGATGTGCACATTGTATGAGAGGGTAATTCATATCAGTCTCATTGGCATAGTATGACATGATAAGAGTGTGAAAGTGTTTCAGTAAGAGACACTGTAACAATGCAAAGTCAGTGTAAATATGCAAAAAGATAACTTACAGATACCTTCAGGAGTATGCGAGTGAGAACAAGTACCCGTACCACTTAAATAAGTCAATTCTGTCTTTTTACCATAAGGCAGCTTCAGTGTAAATTTGAATTCTGAAGTCAAGAAAGTTTGACGTTCATTCACTTCTTTTGAGGGTTCTTCCCTGCTAGCAGAGGCCTCTTTTCCCTGGTATTTGCCTGCCAAATACCAGGGAAAAGAGGCCTCTGTTAGCTGGGAAGATCATAAATTTTTTTTCCTTTTTACATAAAATCCACAGGATTAATCTGGTCACATAAAATACGACCAAAAACTTATCCTTCGTCCTCTATACTTTACAGAGCAAGTCATTTAATATTTTCAACCACTTTCAGTCAAAACCTAACTTTTCAAGGCAAAATCAATATTTGAGAGAATATAATGACAATAATGTGGATGTCTATTCTACTTCTTTTCATTCTACAGATCTCTCTAAGGGTTATACATCTTCTCATCAAAATTTGTTTTTATTTTAGTTTTGACCTGTTTTTCTTTAACCTTTCAACTTGACTTACTACTGCCCATAACTAAAGCCACACTTACATGTATTGGAGTTCTTCTTTTATAATGGTGGCACTTAAACATTTTCCTATACATCAGTCACTACAAAATCAAGATCAAGCAACAGGATCTTGGAGGTGATAAACCTGAATATACCAATATAATACTTCAACAACATTCAGACTAGGAAAGAATACAGTTATCCTTATGAGAACTTCTGTCACCCTATCATTAATGATCAAATTTATGCTTTTTACGCAAACTGTTGACACTTTTAGTCAGGCAAGAGAGAAGTGCTAAATTTTGTCTTCACTAAAACACTAAGGTTGTGTCATTTCACGCCCTTGTTAAGTTCTCCACCGTACAAGGAGCAAATAGGTTTATGGTTCACTGACTCAACAGGTGGATTTTTTTAATCTAAATATTATTGAGGTCAAAGACAATCTAAAAGTAAAAACACCTATTCAAAGCTACATACCAAACAGCATGCACTACAGAACTCAGACAAAGAATTGTAGACATTGTAAGCTTAAGAAACTACCTACCAAGATTTAGGTACGGCTGCAGTGAAAAAGGCAAAATTTCATTAAACTTGTCTGACAAAGTTTGGGTTGTTTATGTAAGAAAATTATTAAAAATGTGTGTATTAAAAATGTTTTAAGAGTCTTTTTATCACTTGCTTTTACAAGGAATATAAGGGCACTTAAAGGCCATCATCTAAGTGGGTTGACACAGAAGAACAGTTTAACATGAATTAACACCATTCATGGTTGAATAACACATCTGACATTGCCAACATGTTTGACTTGTGGGCTAGGTGCTACAGGTGATCAAATTGTTTAAACAAAAATCTCACGCTTGGTGAGTTGGATGATCGCAGACACAGGGAACCAGCGAACAGTGCTGTAAACCAGTCTTACTTGGTAGCACAGGAATGACAATAAACTTGTAGCCAAGTTCTAATCTGAACCACCTCTCTCAGAAGCACTTAACAATATGGCTTATAACTGTTAGTATGAAGGTAAGTGCACAGTTATATTTAACAGTACTCAACAGAAACCTTTTTTGTACTCAAAAACAGCTGGCCAGCTTGCACGTATTTTATTTACACCAAAGTCTACATCCTTCAGTGCTCCTAAGTATATTGAGATGTTATCCATGACTGCTCTGTTGGTCACACAAGTGCAAGAATCAAGGCATTAGATACATTATACAATTAATTATCTCTATAGCAAACAGATCCAACTTCCTTGCTTTCTAAATTGCAGCACTTATGAACTAGAGTGCTTGCAATAGTGTCTTGACCTGAACTTAACTGCTTTATTAAAATGGTGTTTATGCCATTATAAAAGGGTGGCAAAAATTACTTGCTTTTAATGAAAAAAGAATAACAAGTCACAAGAAAGCTGTATGAAAATAAGGTTAAGAAACTACAAGAAATGAGTCATAGACCAAAGAGACTTTTTGTTCAGAAGAACCCTAGAGAAAAACGAAAAATCTACTGCCAGTTTTTGACAGGTACCATTTTTTAAATAATTTTTTCCCAGTCAAACCCTATCAAGATAAGATAAACAGAAACAAGATGAGGGGCTGGGAAATACCCAGCTATTACTACCTTGACAGAAAAACACACAAAGCACTAAATCAGAATTCTTTTCTTCACTTCTTGCCCATCAACTTTTTTATTTCTGTTTTTCAGTGTTAAATTTTAGAAAGAAAATATAACCATGCTAACTCTGAGACTTGTCTCCCATACCAAGTATCCAGTTTGCTGAATATTCCTTGTTAAATATGGCTATGTAGATACAAATACTGCAGAACTGTGATATACCATACTAATTTTATAGTCTCTAACCCTGACATTCTTTAAAGTTGTTACAAACTTTGAGTCTTAAGAAAATTGGCACGTATAAGTTTGTAAGCTACCAAAACCAAGAGCAATAAAACATATAGCCCCCAATTGGGTCTTTTCACGATCTGAGAATGAAGAACAGGATTTTGCAATTCTACAGTGCAAGATCTGCAAAATATTTCAGTAAACAACCAGTCTGGTAGGAAACATCAAAAATGCTTTCTTTTTTACTCCACCACTTTTTTAACCTATAGATACACTTACTTCTACTAGTTCTCTAAAGATAAAGGGAATTAGAACTTCTGAATCTTATAATTTTTTAAATGACTGTAGGCTCAGGATCAGGATAAACCAATAAAAAACTGTTGGGACTGAGGAAAAATTTTAGCTGGGAGGACAGATTTGAAGAATGTTCTCCTCTGGGACCCTCATATGCAACATGTTACTCAAATTTCAGGGAAAACACATATAAACAACTTACCAAATACAACAAGACTAGATATTTTGGGTAATTAAGAACACCAAAAATGGCTTTGTTGCAAACCTTTTTAGTCAGTTGATCATGCTTGGGATGTACAAATTTTTCAGCTGGACCTAATAATTTGGTAAGTTCTATGGGTTAATAAAAACCCAAAGCGGCTCAACCAATCACAAGGAAGTGAAATGTACCAAGCAGTAGAAGTCAAGTGTTGTTTACGTGCTGTGTTCGTCTTGTCGCCAAATCCTATGCAAAAACTGAACTCAAAGTTTGAAAATTTAGCAGGATTTTGAGCACTGCTGTGAATGTTTTTCATGTTTTTAAGTTAAATAATTTCAAAAGCACCTTTAAAGCACTAGCAAGTCTTTTTTAAATCAGTGTTCAAGAATTCTGTTCTTATAAAGACATTGCAACCATTTTGGTAAACCTGTACTTTTGACTTGTGAGTGAGAATTTAGGATAGAATTTCACTTTTTACAAGCGTGAATGAAGTTGAGGTCTCCCTTTTTAGTCTTCAAATTAAAGGCTAAATTGCTCTTGCCAAGCTTATTAATGTGGCAGGTTTTATCAAAAGGGTTAAAATGGTCAAAACCATTTATGATTTATGTCAGCCTTCAATGTTCAATGTTTTCAATCTTCCCTTTGAGCAATTTGTCTGTGTGTGATGGCGAACATGAAAGGGATCTTGTGTAATTTGTGCACCCCTTGGTTGAGTATCGGTCGGCAATATCCGCTGATATGTCAGTCGACGTGTCGGCTGAAAATCAGTCTACTCTCGATTGCCATATTGACATGTCAATCGATATGTCGGCTGACACTCGACCGCGTGTTGACCAACCGATATGTTGGCCGATACACCAGTCCACACTCAGCCAATACAGGGAGTGCCAAATGTCGGTGGAATATTGCTTGACTGTCGGTGGAATATCGGCCCACTATCAGTGGCATATCGGTCGACTGTGACTGAGTCGTATAATACATGTATACTAAAATCAGAATAGGGGAGCTGGGTTTCAGTGCTACGCGCGAGATATTACAGTCCGTGGGTTTGAAAATAGTTTCCGTTCCGTTGTTCATGTCAACCCAGGCTAGCCTCGCTACATCAACTTGCTGGATTTCTGCCATGGTTCTACGCATGTTATATCATTAGATTGTCCTTGAACACCTCTCAAAGGGGATGCCATAGTGGTAAAAGCCACCAAAGAGCCTTAAAAATTACTACATGGACAACATAACAGCAAAAATTTAAATAGACAGAAAGTATGCCGTTGACTAAGTATCAGTGAAGTATTGACTGATTGTCGGTAGCCTATTCCCAGTGCTCGCTCATGCAACACCGGCTTTAATTCTGACGAATTAGTAGCAAGAGATCTATTTCAGGAGTATGCGTGCGTTTCTCCCTCGGGAATAGCTTTCTTTATATAAATAAACATGTGAGTAAGCAAATTTGTCCAGTTGGCCTGCAAGGGTGGAAGGATTGGATTCATGCACCCGTCGAAGCCCCTTGTGGGGGTTGGGGTGGGGGGGTCTACACCCGTTTTGCTTTGGGGTTAGTTTGTTTAACCCTCCCTCCCCCCTTATTTTTTCTCTTATCTTGGTCTAGTCCTATCGCCTTCTTGCCTGTGGACTCGCATGTCCGTAACTCATCTCTTGAGTCCCAGGCCTTTGTTAAGCAAGCCTCCACTGGGAATAGATTACTATCCATCGATATGTCAGCTGACTATCCATCAATACACCGACCAACACTATCGGGCGACTCTTGGTCGACTATCCCTCAACATATTGGTCAACATGTCAACCAAGAGTTGGCCAGATCTACCGGGAGTAGGTTCATATGTCGATCGATATGATGACCGAGTGTCAGTTGACATATAAGCCAATATGTCGATCGAGTATCGGCCAATATTGTCGACTGATACTCAACCAAGGGGTTCGCAAATTACACAAGATCCCATGAAAGTGATCCAAACCCAGAGCAAACCCAACCCAAGCTATTTTCTCATGGAGCACCTTGAGGAAGATGTCTAGTGTGACTGCACCTATTTATTATGCATGCAGAAATCTTATATTTTCTCAGTAGTTAACATGAATGGAGTATAAACATGTATGTGTTGTGGTTCAATTTTATCCTCGGTTTAAATTTTACTTCTCTTTGTTTTGGGGTATGGTAATGTATGATAAGGAGTTTAAAACAAAGGGAAATCAAATTTAAACCAAGGATGAAATTGAACCACAACATATGCGTACCTTCAGAAAAGTTAAAATTACATGATCAGAACTAGGCAAAAAAAACAAGGTTGTTTATGAAGAAATATAGTGGAAAGTTCACACGTGACTGACAGATAGAGCTTTCATATTGACTTAACGAATATATCATCTTAGAAATAAATACGTTCCTCACCTAGATACCTTAACGCTGTATCTCTGTAAATATCGACATCTACAGATGCCTTTAAATCGGAAATTTCTTCCCGTTCTACCATAGTCCATTCGCCACCATCTTGTTTCAAGTTATTGTCTCGTAGCAGCCTCGTCCTCATGTTGTTTTCAACCTTGTTCACAGGCTTCTCTACTTTAAGAGCCTGGGAACTAGTCGGGTGTTGTTTTCAGTAGATAAATCAAGCCAATCAGAGAAGAGTATTTAATTACGTAAACTTCGATCTCCAAAACAAAAATTTGTTGCGAGGAATACGATTTTTGCAGAGTTTAGCTCTTTTTCGAGGCTTGCAGGCAGTTTTTATCGCGCAGATCGAGAAGGGAGCTGAGCCATTTGAATTACCTCTAGTTATTTCAGTGAGAAGCTTTTTTGCTCTGCAAACTTTTCAAGTCACGAATATGATAAAATCTCTAAAGGTTGTTCGTTCTTCGTATCATGCGGACGACCCATCTAAACTTAATTCGTGTTTAACGGAATTGGAAGGCTTGCGAGAAATGCAAAGCGATGGTGAAAGTGTGGAAAAGGTAGGGGCTACATTTTATAATATTTGCTAAAAATGATAAACCTAAGAAAAGTGTAGCACGGCCGTGTTTTGCCAGCGCGTAGCACTGATGTCCAAGTGTACATGTTGAACACAATCCGAATTGACCAAACCCAGCTGCTGACATCACCTGCTGTTTACTCTTTTGAGTTCCAAAAATCCCAGTACAGCTTCAAATTAAACAAGTCCTAGATTTAAGTTTATTTCGTTGTCCTCAAAATCTACATATCATATCACTCTTTTATCAGCTTCTGAAATTTCGAAAATTGCTGTATTGTTTGAAAAAAGCTAGAAAAAAGCTATTTTTAGAACTTCCAGTCAGTGTTATGAACACCCTTACCCCTTGGGATAAGGTGAATCAAAATACCCCTGTAAACCGTCCCACCCACCCACACACCAACACACACACACACACCAAATCGAGGCATCAAAGGGTAGTGCACAATATATGTTATTCCTTTTCAGAATGGAATTGAAAGGGGGAAAGAGGATTCTCGTGAGGAAGCATTTCATCAATCAGGTGCAGAAATCAACCGTAAGCAAGAAAATGCAAAGCGAAAAGGATCAGATACTGGTGAACTTACCACAAAAGACACCCTTTCAACCAGGAGTGAATCCAATGACTGCAACCAAGCATTGACATCAAGCAAGACCAATGCCATTGCCTTCCACATTCCTGTGGAACAAACAGTTTGCAGGCCACCTCCTAAAAGGTTCTGCAACCAGACAAAGAAAGGAAGAGAAAACATCAGCATCGAGAGGATTGCAGAGAAACAAGAAATGGCTGAGCGACGAAAGAATGTGAGAACCTTATACTTTAATAATGTTATACACCATAGTGTTCTTAATTGGCTGGTTTACTTGGCAATTAATTGTATAGTTTTGTAAAATTCCAATTTTTGCATTTTCATTATTGTCAATCAAGGAAATACCACAAACTTATTACTTGCACATTTATCAAATGAGCCTTGCGGCCAACTTCCCTCCTAATAAGAAGTCTCATCCAAATTAGACTGCAAAACAGTCTGTCTTTTTCATGTGAGCAGCCAAACAAGTCTTGGAGCAAGGGCAGAAGTGGAGTATAGGCATGCAGTGAGGCTTGTGCGCTTGTGCTTGTGCACAAAAATCTCTGGCTGACACTTTGCACCTTGAAAAACTGATTTTGAGAAAAAATAACTGTTTTGCAGTCTACATCCAAATATAAGCCCCTCTAAAAAGGCCTTGGTTAGTTGAAAGTTGATATATGCAATACTTAAAAGAAGGTTTGCATGGGGTTTTCTTATAACATTAGAAAGCACTTTTATGCAATCCATGCATACATCTTCCAGTACCATAATGTTGGTTATTGATTTTATTTAAATTTCTGTGCCTATATTGATTTACAAATAACCTGTTTATACAGCAACATATGGAGCAAAAACTGAAAAGAATCCATGATCGACAAGAAGCTGCTAGAAAGCTCGCTTATAATGTGGAAATGCTACTGCAACAGAGGTCCATACAGAGTGCCACTAAAGCAGGTGCCAACCAAAACACACCACGGATGACCTCCTCACAACTACTTGCTACAGCTCGCCATGTTGCCAGAGATTTTAGAGCACTGACCTCTCAAATGACAAAGGACTTTGTTGTGGATGATAGAAACAACAACTTGTCAAAGAAATCTGTAAGCTATCTGAAGTCTCGAGAGGAAAAACGCAATGTGGTAAAATCTTCTAATAACGACAACAACAGGGGTATTGCATTCACTGTTAGCTTTGATGATAACCCTCAATGTTTATCTCCAGTTCCCAAGGCATTGCGAGTGCCCAAAAAGACACAGAAAAGCATGTTAACAGCCCAAGAATTGCAGGAGAAACAACAGAGAGCTGAAGAGAGAAGAAATGTAAGTCAAGTACTACAATCATGTTAATTTGTCAGTTTACACCTGTCATGGGCCACCTCCAAACATAAGAACAGATTTTACACTCTTGCAGTCTTGGGGAGGAGGGATACATAAACACATTGTATGTATATACCTTGGAGGCTCTGCCCTGAGAGTCAACTTTTCTAAGATTTCATAAGGGCCAGGGTTTTCCCCTGGCTTCTATTAGCTTGACACCCTGCTACTTTCATACAAGTAAGAAACAAAGGGAAAACAGACCAATGAACTGCATAGCTGTTCAATTCCCCGCCTGGTTATTGCATATACGCCACATTTTGAAGTTGTAGTGACAGCCTTGCTTTCATGGTCTACAGAAAAGCTGACCCACTCTCAGACCTTCCAACCCCTCAACCATGCAAATCTGGAGTGTTTGGAAAAAAGCCCTAAAATCCTGGAGTTTGGGACCTCAAACCTGGAGTTTTCCAAAATATGTGTCAAATAAAACTAAAAAGGCAGATGATTTATGTCCCCCTGTGGTGTTCCTTACCCTATTAGTGGTCTCTGTTCTCTGTAGTGCTCTATGGCAAAGTTGAGAAGATTCTGTTTCACTATCCAGGTCAATAGGACAGTAGTGAAGTGGGAAATGCTATAAGGCTTTCCCACCGACCTTAGAGAACCTATAATTTTCTGAACTGAGGGTGGAAGTGAACTCAGGTTTCCCTCCAAAATTAGATTGAAACAATATTTGTCCATTATGAAGACAATTTTTTAACTATGCGATTTCTACTGGAATCATCTGGCAATTTTAGATTTTATGATTCACCGTGAGATTTGGATGCTGAATCATGAGACCATGATAAGTTGACTATCCAAACCATGAGAGTTGGAAGGTCTGCTCTCTCACTTATACCATTTGTGGAACACTTTCACATTCTTCACTTATCCTAGGAATCTTTCCTGCCTTGAATTTCACATTATTCCTGCATTTCTTGCAGCAACGGAAACAAGACAGAGTTAAGAGGACTATCGCCAACCGTGAAGCACTGTTTAAGCTGGCTTCAGACCTAGAAACTTTCATGATATGGAATGATAAACAATGCTGTCGCACAGCAAGTTTTGAAGACCACCAAACAACACAACACCAAAATCAAACAGCACAACTAGCTGCTGAAATTGCGGATGGCTTTGATCGATTGAGTCAGCGGTACGCAAGAGATTTAAAGCAAGCTGAGGAATTTTCCTGCAGTCTATGGAGTCCTGACCAGTTGCAGAAGTAGTGTGTTGTGTTGCGGATGGCCAGGAAAATTAATTGTGTTTGACAGACTTACATGTAACCAAACCCACTCAACCCTATTTCAGTTGGCTTTTTGTATGTTATGCAGTGAATTCAGGATGTAGTTAGGTAATCGTTTTTTGTTTTGGCATCACGACATAATATTGCTAGTTGTCTCTGCTCAGCCAAGGATGTGCAAGTGAAAGCTGCTTTTCTGCCTGTGAACTGCTTACCAGTTTGACTTGGCAGCTAGAAAGGGAGTACTATTACCTATACATATTACTTCATTGTTTCCCACACTATACGCTGTCCTGAAAGTGTAGTGGATGTAGTGTTTTTCCCCCACTCTATCATGTATGAGTTTGCTCCCTGTAAATTATTGAGTTTGCAATGGAAGGCCCCTACCTATTTTCTGAAAATATTTTTTGCTGGTATGTAAACATATGTTGGTTATGGTTGGCAGGGAGGTGTTTAATGTATAATAATTTGATTGGTTTACTCAATCAAGAAACAAGAAGCTCTACATTTTGAGTATTAAGATTCCAGGTCCACCTTAAAAATCTTCAGTATGAAAAACACCAATTCAGCTTTTTGAAGCTCAGATGCTTTCGTGAGCAAAGTGAAATTTGTAAATTTAATATTATTTGCCATCTAAAATAATAATATATTTGAAATTGATTTTATTACCACCCTAATTCCGATTACAACCACTGAAATCAGCTAAAACTGATTTTAGAATATTGACTTTCAACAATGGTCAGTAAAATGACTATAATGATGTACAGGCAACAATCATGTACAAACTCATATTACAAGATTTCATGTAATTATTCAATATTGATTTTTTTCCTTCAAAAATATATTCTGAAGATTTGTGATATACATGCTAGAAACATTTTTAAGATAAGAGTGTGTAGTCACAACGGATTTGGATTTAGAAAATCTTATGTAAAATGCTTCTATGAGACCATTTACCTTTCAAATGAAGTACATGTAACAAACTCTGTTTACCACACAAAGTTCTCGAAAGTTGTTTATTTTTTTGCATAAAAATCTTTGCAATTTATCAAGCAAAACTCTGTAACTTGTTATTTAAACTGTAATTAGTTGTACTATAGGTGTATATATTGTTTTTAACTGACTTGTACAAATAACTGCAAACACCAAACACCAGGAAAGGATTAAAGTGTTGATAAGTAAAAAATATGAACATGTGACTCATATAATTCCTTACCATTTGCAATAGCCTGTTCACAGTCCCTTATTTTCCCATAAGGTCATCAAGATCAAGTGCTTTGCGTTACGGGCTGCCATCTTGCATCAAAACTACTTAGGGGTTTGAAAATCAAGATGGCTGCCATTAATGGTAAGACGCGCTATCTCTTGACAATCTCACAGAAAAATAGGGGACTATGAACAGTCTAAATGTGCAAAAACCACATAAACGAAATTGCTCTCAGTAAGATGCTCGGTGATGTTTACCTGTAGAGGTTGTTTTTTATTAAGATATCAATTTACTGACTTTTTTCAAAAAATAAAATATTCATAATTTTTTTCTGTCAGCAAGCCTTGGAGATGCACTCACGGACAGATGACAGATACTGCCAATTCTCCAAATATACCATTAGTAAATTCACTTTCATTTTTACAGTCCATCCTTATGCTGCACATCTTCAAGTGAGTTAGGGAGTGAGTTGGAAATTCACTTGCCTATTTTTAGACTGAAGCAGGTCTAGCCTTCATTACAGTCATTTCTCATTGCTCATTACCTCAAGGGATTTTGTGTGAGGAAGATGCCTTTAAATCGGAAATTTCTTCCCGTTCTACCATAGTCCATTCGCCACCATCTTGTTTCAAGTTATTGTCTCGTAGCAGCCTCGTCCTCATGTTGTTTTCAACCTTGTTCACAGGCTTCTCTACTTTAAGAGCCTGGGAACTAGTCGGGTGTTGTTTTCAGTAGATAAATCAAGCCAATCAGAGAAGAGTATTTAATTACGTAAACTTCGATCTCCAAAACAAAAATTTGTTGCGAGGAATACGATTTTTGCAGAGTTTAGCTCTTTTTCGAGGCTTGCAGGCAGTTTTTATCGCGCAGATCGAGAAGGGAGCTGAGCCATTTGAATTACCTCTAGTTATTTCAGTGAGAAGCTTTTTTGCTCTGCAAACTTTTCAAGTCACGAATATGATAAAATCTCTAAAGGTTGTTCGTTCTTCGTATCATGCGGACGACCCATCTAAACTTAATTCGTGTTTAACGGAATTGGAAGGCTTGCGAGAAATGCAAAGCGATGGTGAAAGTGTGGAAAAGGTAGGGGCTACATTTTATAATATTTGCTAAAAATGATAAACCTAAGAAAAGTGTAGCACGGCCGTGTTTTGCTAGCGCGTAGCACTGGTGTCCAAGTGTACATGTTGAACACAATCCGAATTGACCAAACCCAGCTGCCTGACATCACCTGCTGTCTACTCTTTTGAGTTCCAAAAATCCCAGTACAGCTTCAAACAAGTCCTAGATTTAAGTTTATTTCATTGTCCTCAAAATCTACATATCATATCACTCTTTTATCAGCTTCTGAAATTTCGAAAATTGCTGTATTGTTTGAAAAAAGCTAGAAAAAAGCTATTTTTAGAACTTTCAGTCAGTGTTATGAACACCCTTACCCCTTGCGATAAGGTGAATCAAAATACCCCTGTAAACCTTCCCACCCAACCACACACCAACACACACACACACACACCAAATCGAGGCATCAAAGGGTATTGCACAATAAATGTTATTCCTTTTCAGAATGGAATTGAAAGGGGGAAAGAGGATTCTTGTGAAGAAGCTTTTCATCAATCAGGTGCAGAAATCAACCGTAAGCAAGAAAATGCAAAGCAAAAAGGATCAGATACTGGTGAACTTACCACAAAAGACACCCTTTCAACCAGGAGTGAATCCAATGACTGCAACCAAGCATTGACATCAAGCAAGACCAATGCCCTTGCCTTCCACATTCCTGTGGAACAAACAGTTTGCAAGCCACCTCCTAAAAGGTTCTGCAACCAGACGAAGAAAGGAAGAGAAAACATCAGCATCGAGAGGATTGCAGAGAAACAAGAAGTGGCTGAGCGACGAAAGAATGTGAGAACCTTATACTTTAATAATGTTATACACCACAGTGTTCTTAATTGGCTGGTTTACTTGCAATTAATTGTATAGTTTTGTAAAATTCCTATTTTTGCATTTTCGTTATTGTCAATCAAGGAAATACCACAAACTTATTACTTGCACATTTATCAAATGAGCCTTGCAGCCAACTTCCCTCCTAATAAGAAGTCTCATCCAAATTAGACTGCAAAACAGTCTGTCTTTTTCATGTGAGCAGCCAAGCAAAAGTCTTGGAGCAAGGGCAAAAGTGGAGTATAGGCATGCAGTGAGGCTTGTGCACTTTGCAAAAAAATCTCCGGTTGACACTTTGCACCTTGAAAAACTGATTTTGAGAAAAAAAGGACTGTTTTGCAGTCTACATCCAAATATAAGCCCCTCTAAAAAGGCCTGTAAAAAAAACTTGCAAGTTTGTTGAAGTCTGCAAATTAATGTTGGCTAGTTGAAAGTTGATATATACAATACTTAAAAGAAGGTTTGCATGGGGTTTTCTTGTAACATTAGAAAGCACTTTTATGCAATCCATGCATACATCTTCCAGTACCATAATGTTGGTTATTGATATTATTTAAATTCCTGTGCCTATATTGATTTACAAATAACCTGTTTATACAGCAACATATGGAGCAAAAACTGAAAAGAATCCATGATCGACAAGAAGCTGCTAGAAAGCTCGCTCATAATGTGGAAATGCTACTGCAACAGAGGTCCATACAGAGTGCCACTAAAGCAGGTGTCAACCAAAACACACCACAGATGACCTCCTCACAACTACTTGCTACAGCTCGCCATGTTGCCAGAGATTTTAGAGCACTGACCTCTCAAATGACAAAGGACTTTGTTGTGGATGATAGAAACAACAACTTGTCAAAGAAATCTGTAAGCTATCTGAAGTCTCGAGAGGAAAAACGCAATGTCGTAAAATCTTCTAATAACGACAACAACAGGGGTATTGCATTCACTGTTAGCTTTGATGATAACCCTCAATGTTTATCTCCAGTTCCCAAGGCATTGCGAGTGCCCAAAAAGACACAGAAAAGCATGTTAACAGCCCAAGAATTGCAGGAGAAACAACAGAGAGCTGAAGAGAGAAGAAATGTAAGTCAAGTACTACAATCATGTTAATTTGTCAGTTTACACCTGTCATGGGCCACCTCCAAACATAAGAACAGATTTTACACTCTTGCAGTCTTGGGGAGGAGGGATACATAAACACATTGTATGTATATACCGTGGAGGCTTTGCCCTGAGAGTCAACTTTTCTAACATTTCATAACGGCCAGGGTTTTCCCCTGGCTTCTATTAGCTTNGATGACCTCCTCACAACTACTTGCTACAGCTCGCCATGTTGCCAGAGATTTTAGAGCACTGACCTCTCAAATGACAAAGGACTTTGTTGTGGATGATAGAAACAACAACTTGTCAAAGAAATCTGTAAGCTATCTGAAGTCTCGAGAGGAAAAACGCAATGTGGTAAAATCTTCTAATAACGACAACAACAGGGGTATTGCATTCACTGTTAGCTTTGATGATAACCCTCAATGTTTATCTCCAGTTCCCAAGGCATTGCGAGTGCCCAAAAAGACACAGAAAAGCATGTTAACAGCCCAAGAATTGCAGGAGAAACAACAGAGAGCTGAAGAGAGAAGAAATGTAAGTCAAGTACTACAATCATGTTAATTTGTCAGTTTACACCTGTCATGGGCCACCTCCAAACATAAGAACAGATTTTACACTCTTGCAGTCTTGGGGAGGAGGGATACATAAACACATTGTATGTATATACCGTGGAGGCTTTGCCCTGAGAGTCAACTTTTCTAACATTTCATAACGGCCAGGGTTTTCCCCTGGCTTCTATTAGCTTGACACCCTGCTACTTTCATAAAAGTAAGAAAAAAAGGGAAAAACAGACCAATGAACTGCATAGCTGTTCAATTCCCCGCCTCGTTATTGCATATACGCCACATTTTGAAATTGTAGTGACAGCCTTGCTTTCATGGTCTACAGAAAAGCTGACCCACTCTCAGACCTTCCAACCCCTCAACCATGCAAATCTGGAGTGTTTGAAAAAAAGCCCTAAAATCCTGGAGTTTGGGACCTCAAACCTGGAGTTTTGCAAAATATATGTCAAATAAAACCAAAAAGGCAGATGATTTATGTCCCCCTGTGGTGTTCCTTACCCTATTAGTGGTCTCTGTTCTCTGTAGTACTCTATAGCAAAGTTGAGAAGATTCTGTTTCACTATCCAGGTCAATAGGACAGTAGTGAAGTGGGAAATGCTATAAGGCTTTCCCACAGACCTTAGAGAACCTATAATTTTCTGAACTGAGGGTGGAAGTGAACTCAGGTTTCCCTCCAAAATTAGATTGAAACAATATTTGTCTGTTATATATGAAGACAATTGTTTTAATTATGCGATTTCTACTGGAATCGTCTGGCAATTTTAGATTTTATGATTCACCGTGAGATTTGGATGCTGAATCATGAGACCATGATGAGTTGACTATCCAAACCATGAGAGTTGGAAGGTCTGCTCTCTAACTTATACCATTTGTGGAACACTTTCACATTCTTCACCCATCCTAGGAATCTTTCCTGCCTTGAATTTCACATTATTCCTGCATTTCTTGCAGCAACGGAAACAAGACAGAGTTAAGAGGACTATCGCCAACCGTGAAGCACTGTTTAAGCTGGCTTCAGACCTAGAAACTTTCATGATATGGAATGATAAACAATGCTGTCGCACAGCAAGTTTTGAAGACCACCAAACAACACAACACCAAAATCAAACAGCACAACTAGCTGCTGAAATTGCGGATGGCTTTGATCGATTGAGTCAGCGGTACGCAAGAGATTTAAAGCAAGCTGAGGAATTTTCCTGCAGTTTATGGAGTCCTGGCCAGTTGCAGAAGTAGTGTGTTGTGTTGCGGATGGCCAGGAAAATTAATTGTGTTTGACAGACTTACATGTAACCAAACCCACTCAACCCTATTTCAGTTGGCTTTTTGTATGTTATGCAGTGAATTCAGGATGTAGTTAGGTAATCGTTTTTTGTTTTGGCATCATGACATAACATTCGATCAACAGAGACGAGTCGGTTCCTACACGTTCACTTTCGACGAAAAGACGGACACTTGACGAATGGTCAAACTGAACCGTCGATCTTTCCCTCATGATAATGGATATGTATAATGAAGTAACAAAGGGTTACTATACCCTGTCCTGAAAGTGTAGTGGATTTGCAGCTTTTCCCCCACTCTATCAGGTATGAGTTTGCCCCCTGTGAATTGTTTAGTTTGCAATGGAAGGCCCCCAGCTATTTTCTGAAAATATTTTTTGCTGGTATGTAAACATATGTTGGTTATGGTTGGTAGGGAGGTGTTTAATGTATAATAATTTGATCGGTTTACTCAATCAAGAAACAAGAAGCTCTTCATTTTGAGTATTAAGATTCCAGGTCAACCTTAAAAATCTTCAGTATGAAAAACACTGGATTGGTAACAAATTCAGCTTTTTGAAGCTCAGATGCTTTTGTGAGCAAAGTGAAATTTGTAAATTTAATATTATTTGCCATCTAAAATAATAATATATTTGAAATTGATTTTATTAACACCCTAATCTGATAACAACCACTGAAATCAGCTAAAACTGATTTTAGAATATTGACTTTCGACAATGGTCAGTAAAATGACTATAATGATGTACAGGCAACAATCATGTACAAACTGATATACATGCTAGAAACGTTTTTAAGATAAGAGTGTGTAGTCACAACGGATTTGGATTTACAATCTTATGTAAAATGCTTCTATGAGACCATTTTACCTTTCAAATGAAGTACATGTAACAAACTCTGTTTACCACACAAAGTTCTCGAAAGTTGTTCATTTTTTTGCATAAAAATCTTTGCAATTTATCAAGCAAAACTCTGTAACTTGTTATTGAAACTGTAATTAGTTGTACTATAGGTGTATATATTGTTTTTAACTGACTTGTACAAATAACTGCAAACACCAAACACCAGGAAAGGATTAAAGTGTTGATAAGTAAAAAATATGAACATGTGACTTATAAAATTCCTTACAATGTGCAATAGCCTGTTCACAGTCCCTTATTTTCCCATAAGGTCATCGAGATCAAGTGCTTTGCGTTATGGGCTGCCATCTTGCATCAAAACTACTTAGGGGTTTGAAAATCAAGATGGCTGCCATTAATGGCAAGACACGCTATCTCTCGACAATCTCACAGAAAAATAGGGGACCATGAACAGTCTAAATGTGCAAAAACCACATAAACGAAATTGCTGTCAGTAAGATGAGGTGATGTTTGCCTGTAGAGGTTGTTTTTTATTAAGATATCAATTTACTGACTTTTTTCAAAAAATAAAATATTCATAATTTTTTTTCTGTCAGCAAGCCTTGGAGATGCACTCACTGACAGATGACAGATACTGCCAATTCTCCAAATATACCATTAGTAAATTCACTTTCATTTTTACAGTCCATCCTTATGCTGCACATCTTCAAATGCATGGGTGTGAGTGAGTTGGAAATTCACTTGCCTATTTTTAGACTGAAGCAGGTCTAGCCTTCATTACAGTCATTTCTCATTGCTCATTACCTCAAGGGATTTTGTGTGAGGAACGTCTACATTTTGGCCTCAAAAATCCCCAATAAATAATGTAAATAGGGAGTTGATAAATAGAAAAATCCATAAATGAGAAAAACAACCTAAGCAGTTGAAAAAGAAGCTAAAAAAAATCAGGCTTGATCAGGAACCCAGAATTTTCTTTCCATGTTCTTCTTAACCGCTATGGTTTATTCAGTTAGGTGTGAAGCTCACTCCCACTTTCGTCCAGTCTGGTTGTCATAGCTTGTAGATGCTGCTTTGTTTGAGTTTCATTTTTTCTTGTTGATTACTAAAGAAGTGTTACGCTTTTAATATATTACAACAGCAAAATTGAGTAAGTCTTGGAAAACAACTGACCCTGACTGCAACCTTTGGTCCCTCTAATATACAAACGATAATTCCAAAGTTTTAGTTTTCATCATGGGTTGAAAAGAATATAGTAATAATATACAGTATACCAAACTTAACCAATCAGTACCCTTGATCATATTCTGGACAGTTCACATGATCAGTTTGGAATTTTTGAGGCAAAAACTAATTGTCATCTCTCTCTTTTGAGAACAATGGGAGAAGGCCAGTAGTGGTCACATTTTGTCATCTTCTGCTGGGCAAGTTTTCCCACGTATGAAATCCACGTTGCTGACATACTTCAGTTTATCAGGTCCCCAGGACTCAAACAGATTCACTTCCTCCCTGTCTGGTTCATCATAAATAGTTGATATTATTACATTCCTTTCAGCCTTTGGTCGCTTCACATGTCGTTCTAGCTTTTCACCATAATACCCAAGGCCTCTTTTACATTTCGGCAATTGTCCATCTGCAACAACAGGCTCTGTTACTCCCACCTGAGAAGAACCAAGGCTTCCACCTTCCTTCCAGCCTAGTTTTCTCATCAACCGGCCACCAAACCCACGGGTATATTTCTCAAATCCACCAATTTTATTGAGTGTTATGTCATTGCCTTTCTTCCACTGCCCTTCTAATCTCATCCTTAGAAGATCACGTGAGTCTTTGTCACCACCATCTGTGTGTAAAGAAAATATTTTTACTCGAACTGTGAAGCACAACTTATAAAAACCATAACAGAGGGGTGGTAAGCTGTAAGTTTTTGTTCATAATCAAATTTGTTTTCTTCTGTCAAATAAGAGATAACTGGAAAAAAGTTGGAGTGACTCATGTCTTAATGCAACATTCCCCCATCAAACAAAATTGTTCCGAGGTTAATAGCTGGCACTACTACTAAGAGATGTATTGGCAGCACTGCCTGTTTTCCTTCTTCAGTACAAGCTCCTTTTTACAAAAAATTATGTCTTCATTTTATTATTTACAGAAGTGAATGGAATTGTGCTGGAATCAAAATAGTGAGTAAAATACACCCCTCTCTAAAAACTTTATTATATCAACAGAATAAAATTAACTGTGGATGCAAGAATGATACATTTTTTGACTTATTAGTGCATGTACCCACCTGGGTTTTCATATATTTCCATGTCTACATCCCAATCATCAGCAGTTTCTTCATCAAAGTCTGCTTCCTCCTGTTGCTTCCAGAAAGCTGCATCAGTGTAAAACACAAGACCACTGCCTCCCTTCTCCCACTTGAGCTCAATTTCTTCTTCAAAAAGCCTCTCTTTTGTTCGATCTTGACTCGTGACATCATTGTGCAATGATTCATGTCTGTCCCACTCTTCTGGCAGATCATCATCATCATCATGCTTGACATTACTTTCATCATCATCATCATCATCAATTGCTCTTTTGGGATTACAATCTTGGTCAGTTTCAGCAGTATGTTCATTCTCTTCAGTTTCAGAATTACAGCTATTGTTACCTTGATCAGAGCTTCTACTTCCTGTGGCATCCACATTTGATGTTGATGCTTTGTTTTTCTCCAATCCATTTACTTTTCCTTTTCCTTTGTCCAAAGACTTGTAATCAAAAGGAACATTGCTGTATTTCTTTTTAGATTTAGCAATAGAAACATTCAAATTCAGTTTTTTAATTACACAAGGCGGTAGCTTGCAAGCTCTTATTAACTCCTTAAATACCAACAAAGGTGTTCCAACATTCCCATTAGGCATCAAAGGAGGTGGATGAAGCTCTGGTAGTTCCTTAAGGTCATGCTTTGAAAACTCTAAGTTTGTCCTTGTGAAGGGATGTACTCTTTTTTCCTGTTTTGTTTTATACAGAATGTCCTCACTGGTGTCTGCAATAAGAGAGATACATGTATTAAGCATGCATTAAGCATGAGGTCAAGATGGCCGGATAATGGCGACCAAGTTCTCTCTATAAAATGGCACTTAGTTATATCAGTGATAGGAATGTGTAAATTGCTTTGAGTGGAAAAACTGATTTTTGTCATTTTGCATAGGTGGTCACTTAGACTAGGAAATGTAGTTGCACTTATTTAGGTTGAGGCTCTGTATGGGTATTTCTGATGAAATCAAAGCCATGACAATCGCTACTCAATTGATGACACAATGATCTTAGAATTGAAGGGATGATCACATTGCCATTCGATCAAATTTGACAACATTGGTCATGCAGTGACAGCAGACAAATATGCCAAAAAATGTGATGCACATTCTGAGATTTTGCTATGCTTTTTAAACCTGTCCCTTTTCTATTTCTTCATTTCGTTGTTGACATCCTAGTTGCTCGGGCTTGTTTAAAACCTTATCTTGATTTGAAACGATTTCGTTAAAAAACTGACGTTTTGATGATAAATACACAACAAAAACGTCTGTAGGTACCCATACAGGGGCTTTAGGTTAGTCCTCGATTGCAACAACACTCACACTACTTTATATGATTTAAACTAGGAGAATTTTTACCACCCTAAATTCGAGATTGCTCCAAATCTCTCAATTTAAGAAAAACTTTTCTTATAAAAACTTTTCTTACTTTATGAGAAAATTTAAAACAAATCATCGGATAAGAACTCTTTTTCTCTGCAATTTATAAAGGCAGTTTGAATTTACGAGAACAAACTCTTATTCCATGATTTGTTTTAATTTATTTTCTTAAAATAAGCTCAAATTTAGTGTATCACGCAAATTATAAAGCGTAATTAAATACAAAGTAGAAATTACAAACCTTGTCCTGTTTTGATGCTTATCTTTGATATGACTGCTTTGGATGGAAAGTATTTGCCATTTCGGTCAACCCAGTTTTTGCCACGATAACGCTTTATCAACTCCTCTAATTTTTCATTTAGCACTAACACAACACAACATGTAGTATTTGACGTTTGAACTTCCCCGTCACCATCATTCAAAGTTACGTCTTGTCTAATTTCAGGTCTATGTCGAAAATGAAAACATCTAAATCCCCAAGTTTCGTCGTTGATGAAGTCTGTAAACATCGCCCTCAAGTCAGCCGAGTGAAATTCTTTCGGAATATTCCCAACTATTCCATAACATAATTGTGCTTTTTCCATAGACGTTTGGTTCTCTGAATCATCCATATTACATTAATATTTCTCCACAAGGACAGTGTTACAATGATATATGTTTTTACAACGTTCACATTTCGTTCACACAGAATGCGCCATTTTGATTTACAAAGTGAACGCCACAAAGACATCATGGGACAGTACTTGGATAAGTCTGTCATGTAACCCGAGCGAAATGTCCCCAGGGTTGATTGCTAAGTAACCTGGCCTATCCTTAGTAACAGACGGTAAATAATCAGCTAATTAGCAGGAAGGCTGCTTCAAAATCTCCGGCAAAATGCCTATCACTAAACAACCAAAGAAAAGCGAGCCTTTGTGGAAAGAATGGGACTATAAAGCACAGAAGAAAGGCGTCCATCACACCGTTTACTCTGTAAATGGTGATCGATACACGGGCGAATGGGATGACAACAAAAAGAATGGTAAGCTTGACCAACGTTCGAATTCAGTCAGGATTCTATCTAATTTGTTCTTCAAAGAAATGCTGTCTTAAAAATTACTTTTGTTGTAGCACTTTTTATGACATAAGTTTTAAGTTTAACGTTCAGTTAAGTTTATGTATATGTTGTAGTTAATTTTTTGTCTCAGGTACAGTATTTATTCGATTAACCGCCCTGGACGCCTATTAAAACTACAACATATATCTTCGGATTCGATTTTAAAGTCTGATATAAATTCCAGATAAATTATAAACAATCCTTAGCTTCTTTAAATAATGTAATTTAATCAAGTATATTCTCTTAAGAGACCGCACATGAGAGAGGCATATTATTTACTGAATACCCTGGCTTACAAGTACCAAATCCATGGTCACTGGTGCATGGTTCCAAGCAAATGGGAGATGCTAGTTAATATCCCCCCTCCTCCATGAGGGGCACACCATATCTCCTTGAATAAGCACCCACCCCCTAGGCCAAGATAGCAAACAAAGACCCCCTTGAACAAGCCTCCTCTTCCCCTCCCCATCACTTTCTTTAATAGTGGGGATACATGTACAAGGAAAGCCCATTTCTATTGCCACTTTATTGATGACTCTGTGTGTAAATGGTATAATGGAACTAAGGTACTGTTCATTACCAACAGGTGATTAAGTGCCCTCCTGCCATTAAGTACCCATCCTTTTAGACATTTAAAATTTGTTCAAGTGCCCATGAATAAGTTCTTTCTACCATACACTTAAAGTGAAGAACTCTTATTTTTAGAGTTTCAAAACTGTGGAAAGGGGGAAGTCTCTTTCCCTCTACGACCATGGTTGTTTCCTATCCCTCACAAGTGGCTTTTAAAATCCCCCTCCTTCCTGGGATTATGCAGTCCCTTCTTAAAGGCAAATGCAGACATTTATTGGAATGGCCTAATGACACTTGCTTAATTCTGTAAAAGGCTTTGAATGTGTTACATGTTTTTGGCTCAGTTGGTTGAAGTATTAAAAAAGGTTCCCAAAAATTCCACAGAGCCTGGAAACAGCAGGATGTGGTTATAAAATCAACATGGCAGTAGTAGAGATTTGAAGAAGTCAAGATCTAATGTGGTGGTAAAAATCATACAAAATTCAGACTGGTATTCATGGGCTTAAACAAATCTGTATAATTTACAAAAACAACTATGTCATTACCTTCCTCATAACATATTTGAAACTAAAGTGGAAGCCCTTTAATGCAACCACCATTGGGCCATAAAATCCTGGGCCCAGTTCCTGAAAGGTTGATTAGCATTCAGGATTAAAATTTTGTTCCGTTTTTGTATTTTACATTCCTATGTATCAGCTTAAGGTAACATTTTGTGTTATCATTACTGTATCTTGTACTAAAGGCTCAACAGTATTTTGTAACCTCGAGTAGCATGTTCTTAGATGAGAAAACCATGCTTGAAATTTGGCTTAATCCTGGGTTAAAGTTAACTATCTTTCAATGAACCGGGCCCAGTTCATAATAATGAGGTAATTAATGGGGTCTTGAAAGTAACAGAATGATTCAGATATGTTAACGTTTAGGTCAAAAGAATATGGTCATAATACCGAGGTGGTCGTATAAATGGGGTGGTCGGAAGGCGGGGTTCCACTGTAGACATTTTGAGTCTTTCCAGTGGTGCTCAACAGAGGTAAAAGAAGGGAGATGACCCAACATCAAACAGCACTGACCTTTGTTGCTCATAGTTCTTCTGTCACACACTTGACTGAGGTAGTATGCTGTTTACTGCTTGTGAAGAAAAATGCTCATGACAATAATTTAATTTCTTTATTTTCTTAGGAAAGGGAACCATGACATGGAAGAAATCTGGAACTATTTATGATGGAGACTGGAAAGATGACCGCCGATGTGGATTTGGTACATACAGTGTTTCTGAAGGCGCTGGATACAGAAAAGTCTATTCAGGGGGGTGGAAAAATGATAAGAGACATGTATGTGTTTTGTCATTTTAGCTTTTTTTGTTTTCAACAATACAAGTCAAGTTGTATGCAGATACAATGCTTCTGGCAGTAATTTTTACATGCTATGTGATTCTGTGAGCACACGAAGGACCTTCAATCTTCCTAGGTGAAGAGCCTCTTCTCTCGCCAAAGCTGCTTGAAAGAAAATATTAGGCTTGTTTCGCACTTATGAGTGCAGGGTCAGTTTCTCGAACAGCTGCTAAGCCTAAGAAAACATTTTGGCTACAACTATAAGAGGATTGTACATACTTCTAATCCACCACAGTGATAAATTCAGATGGTATTCAAACCCAGAAAAAAAAATTTCATTTACAATAGTGCATTTGGAATACTTGGATGTTAGGCATTTTCTAGTACAAATAAATATGAACTTATCAGTACGGTAACTACTACTATGTAAGTTAACAAAAAAGGGACGTCCAGTATTATGATTCTAGCACTGTTAAGTTTTAAGGTTTTTTGTATGAGTTTGTAAATGTGTCTTATTCCTAGGGTTATGGAACTAACTTCTACTCTGCCAATGAATACTATGAGGGGGAGTGGTATGCAGACAAGCGCAGTGGCTGGGGACGAATGTATTATGCTGATGGTTCAGTTTATGAGGGAGAGTGGTACAATGACTTGAGAAACGGAGAGGGCATGCTTAGGCTAGGTAAGGTTGAAATGGTAAATCTCAACTTTCTATTTAATCAAAAAAAATCTCTGTTTTAAACCTGCATGTTCAATGCCAAGTTGGGAAAAAAGCTGTAAAATTATTATATTCCATCTTCGTCTATATTCAATTTTAAAACAAACTTTTTAGGCTACAATAAATGAGCTTGTGGAAGGTGCCTGGAAAGATGGTGGAGCCACAAGCAGAAGAGCCGAGTGCGTAGGGTAACCATGACCTCTCTGTGAGTGGCAACTACCAGCCACCATCACACTGAAAAACAGTGGAACAATGATACTTACGTCATCCTTACCACAGAGAGGGAGGGAGGACAGAGAGTTAAATTGCCTAGCACAATCAAAACAGGCCAAGCGTACGTGAGAATGAGTGACCTCAACAGCAGCGCTGTAAAACCACATGACCCCCTGCAAACCCCTGACCACTCCGCATACCCACAACAGGGGAGGGGAGTAAGGGGTTTTCATTAATTTTTTACAACTTAGATGTTTAACATACAAAATATTTGACTTCTCTGTGTGTAGCAAATGAAAATCGCTACGAGGGACAGTGGAAAGATGATAAGAAACATGGAAAGGGAAGATTCTTTTATCTTGATCGTGGGCAGATGTACACTGGAGTGTGGTGTGATGACATTCCAAAATGTGGCACTGTAGAAGATTTTGGTCGCCATGAAGCCCCAAAGCCAACTACATACCCTTTACCAGAGGTTGGTATAAACTAGAGTAAAAGGTCTCCATGGACCTGTTATAGAGTGTAACATTATAAACTGAATAGACAAAAGGGTATTATTTTGAATCCAAGCTTGTGGGTCAACATTTTGCCATATCTATGTGTAAGGATTTTCCCAGTACAGTACAGCACAGCAAACTCAGATGCACAGCAAACTCAGATCTCTAGGTTTTGTTGTGATGTGGCACTTGCAGATCTGATCAGAGATGTTGCATGTATGGTCTCCATCAGTTGGGGTTTCGTTGCACCTGGCTTTGCGCTGGGCTCTTTTCTCCCTCAGGTTGATGATCCTCACTGGCTGCTTCAAAGTGAAAGATGGCTTGGTAGCAAAAGGTTTTCCACTGTGTTTTGTTCAGGGTTAAATTCCAATCCCCATGTTACTGGGTGCTTTAACTTACAGGTATTCAAATAATGGCCTTAAGAGTGTCCTTGTAGTGGAGTTTGCTCTATGCATCCACTGTATAATTATACTTTAGCAACGAAGGAATGGGAATGCCTTATAAAAGACATGAGTGATCAGCAACCCTCCAAGCTGCGACCACTCTAGAGGCGATGACGACTAAAATTTTGGTTCTGGCATCTTGATTTGGAAAATAGTCACCAAGTTGGCGACCAGAGAAAACTGATACTTGAAGAAACGACATGGATTATAAGTTACTGTATACACTTGTGAAAACGGTAAATGCCTTTTAGAAACATTGTTTTGGTTGAACAATACCATTCTTAAGCCGGACACTAATTCTTAATTTAATTATTGATATATATTTTGGCACCTAAACCTAAAGAGTTGGTTGCCAAGTGGTCACCAAAGGAAAAAATAATTTAACTTGGAGGGTTGATCAGATAAAGTCAAATATAAACCTCAGGAACTCCACAAACTTTGCAAATAAACCTCTAGACTTCTGCTAACTTATTAGATTTAACACTAAATTGATTCCTTTGTTTCTGCTATTACTTTTCAATACAGTGCAAGCTTCAGGATTTAAGAGGAGTAGTGAAAGATGCTGAAGATTTGTTTCTAGATGAGCAGCAATGAAGATGGCCGTCTTTACTGATGAAAATATTATTAATTTATTACATTCTAGATATCTTTAATGAAGTACAAACCATGACAATTGTGTAATATACATTTAGGTAAAAATAAGCCCATCAGAAACAAATGTTAAACGTACATGTAGCAAGCCATCAATCCTCTACCATTATGTAATTGATTCATTTTCCAAAGGATTTGGCTCAAGATGTTCGTACTTCTAATGCCTCATTAACAGAATTGGAGAGAGAGATACTTTAATTTCATTCAAGTTGCATATTGTAAAAACATTCAAACATGACTCTTGAACGGGAATCAAGAGCAAGCTATGCCATGGGCAAAAAAGCCAGCAGTATCTGCTGTTTGAAGTAAAAATCTACTATAGGAGAAGCAAAGGACAGTATTTTATTTAATCACCAACTTATGTACATAATATAATAACTGTTTCTTATTATCTTCCCACCTTTGTAAAACATTACTTTTTCTTTACATGTACCTTCTGTCAATAAATAAAACTATTTTTCCATTAAGAAGTGTCTACAAACACCTCTATATAGCTTGAGTACTATTTTTGATTTCTACAGCACTTTTTCTGTTGACCAGCAGCAGCTAATAAATTAAAGGAAATTAATGCTATAGAGAAACATTTGCTAATGCTTAAGCACCCTGCACTCTCGAGGGCTTGCTCCCAGGCTAGGCTAAAGTGGCAGCGCATTGGACTCATAACATGCCTTGGGTTCCAGTAGCCTGCGAGCAAGCTCTCCATTTGAGGGAGTCACAAGAAGTCAAGTGAGAGAAGGACGCAAAAGGAGACGAGAATGCGAGGGGCCCTCCTCCACCTCTCACGGCTTTGATTCTTGATCACATGTTCCTCATGGCTCACTTTGCTCGCCATAATTGGAGAGCTTGCTTGCAGGCTAGGGTTCCAGTGCCAGAGAAAACAAGCATTAAAGTTAAGCTTCTGTAATGCCATAGTACTCAACTTAGTGATAAATACTTATACATCAGACAGTATTTCAAAAGCATTTCAAAACAACCCACATAGCAGTGCTTCAAAGCTTCAAAACATCATAAAAAATTGAATTCATATCAATACAAGATAGAGGGGGGCTTATAACCAGATGTATTTTTTGTTTACAGGTAGACGGGCCTATAACTGAGGGGGGCCCTATCTGATATCCGGGGGGGGGGGGGNTATTTCAAAAGCATTTCAAAACAACCCACATAGCAGTGCTTCAAAGCTTCAAAACATCATAAAAAATTGAATTCATATCAATACAAGATAGAGGGGGGCTTATAACCAGATGTATTTTTTGTTTACAGGTAGACGGGCCTATAACTGAGGGGGGCCCTATCTGATATCCGGGGGGGGGGGGGCTTGTAACTGGATACATTTTTTTTTTTACAGGAAGATGGGCCTATAACTGCGGGGAGGGCTTATACGTTGAGGGGCCTTATAAGCAGCAGTTAACAGTAATTTATAATCAATTCAAAATTTTCTCTGTTTCTGATCGACTTTGAATCCTCAGCAAAGTTTTCATAACCAGCTAGCACTGACCAAATTTTGTAGATGCTCGGTGACATCAATACAGTGACAAGAAAAGTGTACTGACACTGACAGAAAAGGCATAGCAGAAGGTGTGGTAGCTAAGCTGTTTTGGCACAACTGGAGAAAATGGCGGAGATTTTGCATGTTAATTGAAGAAGTAGCCAAACTACAAACTACTGGAGAAAAACATTGCATTGCAAAACTACCAATAATAATGATGGACGACAAACACTATTTTATTATTTTCATGTCCTCAAACTGCTATGGAAAGATGGGAACTTTATGTAGATCGAGGTAAGCATGTTTTACTTTCTCTGGGAAATATTTTGAATGAATAATACAACATTATTGGATTCAAGGGTCAATTATTTAATAAAACTTTTATGAGTGTGTGCATTATGGTTTAAGAGTCTAAAAACAATAGCTTCACTTGTAAATTACACTAGAAATAGTTGTTTTCAATTGACCCCAGCTTTCAGATGATGAATAATTCTTCATATCATATTCAGCCTTATCCATTAATTGCTATTATTATTATTTTCAAAATCTTAAAAACTGTGCTTTTAAGCTCTGTTATTGGGAATAGGACTTGGAGTTGGTGTACTTGGTGACGTTCCTGTATCAGTGTGTAACTGATTTGCAATCTGTTGAAGTTCTTCAATTCCCTGGAAAGACCTTTCATACTTATGTTGAACAAGAGATCGGTAAAAATGAATAGCAAACCACACAAACACAATACACACTGGGACCAACACCACAGATGCCGCCAAAGCTGCAGTTTGGCTGTGCCGGTAGAACTTGACCCAACAGATTATTGCAATCTCTGCTAAGAAAAGAAGTGTTCCTAGCCCTGTTGAGAAAATCCATGCAATCTCAATGTGGATGTGGAGTTTTTCATGTGGTGAATCTCGAACTACTTGTGTACCTTGTTGGTGGATATTTGCCACTCCATCAATGTTTGGCAGAATGCAGACAGATATCATAAGTGCAAAGACATGCACTGAGATGAGAATTGTGGTCATCACGCTAAATGCTATCAATAATCCTTTGGGAATACCATCGTCTAGTTGAATTTCAACCATTGCTATCTGCAAATAAAGAGTTTGTAAGTAAACAGTTTAACTAGCACCAACATTATCAAAGAAAATTTTTCATCAAAACTAGGCACAGATTTGGGCACCAGAGAGCCAAAGAATTGAGCTAACTAGTTGAAAATAACGTGTCTAGAAAAATATTGGTCGGCAGCTTATGATATTTTGATACCCAAAAGGCAGGATTGACAAACTGAGCCTGCATCAAGTCCTGGCTCAAGTCTTGGCTCGGTACATAGGCATCCTCGCCTGTGATCATGCCCACCCTTTTTAAGACACAAAAAAGCCTGAGCCAGGCCCATCAGCAAAACAAGGCCAAAAACAGGCAAATGTTTGGGTTATACTGGAGCGGAAAGTCAATGTCTAGATCGATCATGTTATTATTCCAGTTTTTTGTTTTTTGTTTTGACTTGAACTGTGGCTAATAATCGATCCTAAATTTTGTTGTACCTTGCATAATATTCGCGAAACTCTGGAATGTTGTACACCAAATTGCTGTGAATACGACGTCGAAGTCATTGATAAAACAATAAGAGAACTTACATTAACTTAAAGTAAGCCTGTCATTAAAATATTAAGCGTAAATCTTAATATTTAAGTTAAACAACGCTTTTACCCTGCATTTATCAGCTTAACTTTAGCTACAAACATCAAGCTACTGTGTATAAATTTTAAGAGTAAACAGAAGCAAACTTGTAAATTGAACAAGTAAACAATCTTTTACACCAATTTCTTCCTTTAAGGACGGCGGATTTTTCAAAGGATTGGAGTTTTCATTCTTTAGAAAATTGCGGCTACATTTGTTTATTCCTTAAAAAAAAACAAAACAAAACAAAACAGGAAAAATTTGTTACCATTGCAAACCCTGACATCAGAGCCGAGGTGCGACTGGACGCTTTAAGCTTCCCACGCGTTAGAAAAAGTCTCCTCACGGTTAACTTTTGTGCCGACTCTTCATCTACGTGCTTCATGTTGTTAACAGTCTTACGGATTAGAAGAGCAAGCCTATGTTTCAATAAACCTCTTCAATTTAAGCCTTTTTAGCACAACATCTATGTGGCTAGAAAACAGCTGAGGTGGCCATATTGTTTACTGGGGGCACCTGCTGACCAATAAACATGACAGCTTAACGTTTGCGTGTTGCGTGACCAGTGTGTCACATAGAGAGCCTGTCCATTATGTTACTTACCTGAAATGAATTTTATTTTTCTTTTCGTGAAGTCATTTCTTCTGTAAGGTTGACGAAATTTTGGAACAACAGTTGGTTGCCAGAAGGGTGCCCATGGGGTGCGCATCTTCCGCGCTTGACCAAAGCTCCTTTGAACACGTAAAAATAGCCCCTTTTCTGCAAGCTGCGGCGTAGGCTCCTGGCGGAAAGTCATTATATTTGCCCATTCAGTCATCGCTTAGGGCTGTGCATAAAGAAATTTACAAAAAATGCTGTGACACTGACCACACAGAAATCTGATGAACGCATTCTATGTTGACATCCTTGAGCCACACCTACATTGATCTCCATTTGGGGTCTCCGTCACTTTTATATGGGAGTCTCCCCTTAGTTTCTTGGTGTTGCAGATATTAATATTATCTGTTTTCCGTTTTAGATGCTTACAAAGTGTTCAAAACCTGCGGGTGACAATTTCCCACGGGCGTAGAGGGAGGCTGAGTTTTCGGTGTTCAATGAAGAAGTCAGCGGTAGTTTGGGAAAATGAAGAGAGACTTCCGGTTAAATGATCCAGCTTCCTGTCGGGACGCTTCCGGTCGACTTTTTGACCTTATTAATGTCACAGCTGTGGTAGGTGCTTGATGTATGGGAATATATATTGTATTGATTCCAAGTGACGGGGATGAATGAATGGGGCCAGAATTCAAACCCCCCCCAAAAAA